GCTAGTCGGAGGACGCCGAACCTCCATCCTTCTGTTCGCGGCGGCCGATGACTGATCTTGAAGAGCAGCAGATCTGTTTTTGGTGATTTTGATGCTTGTAATGTGCATGGGGTAGGATTTTGGTGGAGATTGAGCAGCTAGAGGAGAAGTACCACACTTTTCGCATTGGCTTCGTTGGCAGGAAGAATAACCGGGTGACCTATATGGTGGCTAATAAGACCCTCTTCTTGTATCGTACAAATGTTGTATCTTTTGATTTTTAAAAGTGATTTTATACTTTATTTGACGTACTTGAGCCGTTGTAAAATATGGGCTAAATTGCAAGTTTGGTCACTTGAACTACTGATAAAGTTCACGTTAGCCACTAGGATATTTTATTCCAGCCGTAATCACTTAAATTAGTTCAACAATTCAAGTTTGGTCACTCTCCGTTAGTGTCCATTAACTTTAGCTGATGTGGCAGCTAAAGTTAGTTCAACAGTTCAACAGTTCAAGTTTGGTCAACTCTGATATATGACCGTTAAATGTGTGACGTGGCAATTAAAGAAATAATAATAATAAAATTTAATATTTAATATTTTCAATTTCCACCTCAATATTACAACCCATACAAAAATTAAAAAAAAGTAAACTAATTTAATTTTTGCCCTACTCAAATTTAGTTTTCTTTTCTCTGGGCTGGTTAGTAGTCAATTTATTTCTTTCCGTATGTTCCTTGCTCTTCCTATTTACTTACATATAATACGCAGCTTCTCATTCCATTCCATTCCATTGAAGTTTCTAGCTTCTCATAATATGCGTTTGGGTGGTTTGATAAAAAAAAAACTGTATATGTGGTTGTCTGCAGTCTGCACAAATGATCATGTGGCTTAGGCTGGTGAAGCACATAGAACCTAATGTTTATGGTCGGGTTCTTCAGTTTTTTTTTTGTTGAAGATCATTAGTGGAGACTTCTTTAGCTCTTTTTTCTTTTTCCTCTTTGCTTGTTAGTAATTTTGAGTGAATCCTGAAGTAGTGCATCCATGGTTTGGTCATCATGGACATTTGCCACCTTCATCACAGGCTGTACCAATTATTATTATTATTAAAACGTAAGTAAAAAAAAAAACACTGTTCCTTACGACTTTTCCGGGTTACTGTTCACGGATTAGTTTTAAATTATTTTTTAATGATTCAAATACAATTAATGGGATTTTCTGCTACAACCACCCCTAGGGTATACCTCCTCCATGTGTTTGCATGCGACTAACCAAGTACCAACCATGTCATAAACTCTAAATTTTCTTACGTGCTGCTTTGTTAATTATTCTAATAAACCTTCCAATTGATATTAGAAAGTAATAGTGGGTTTTACTCTGATTGACCACATGTTCACTTTATAATAACATTCAACTCTTGACATTATTTTTAATTTGGCCTCATGAGTCACGAATACGGCTTGCACTTTTTCTCTTGCTATTATTAGTTGCTTTGGCTTTTGTTCTGATCTTTTAGATTATGCTGACATTAAGTTGTACAAGTTGTTTTAGTAACTTGATTTTATTATTAGACCACACATTCTGAAAAATTTATATAACACTGTTCTATATTAATTAAACTAAAAATATATTATGTAAATCTTGTGAAAGAATAATTATTTCTAATATATCAATTGAACCAAACATATTATCTGAGTCTTCTGTAATGATTAATATATTACGTAAAGCTTACAGAGAGATAGTCACTTCTATGTATAAAATAAACGAGCAAATAATATAAGTCTTTCGTGATATAATTTTGAACACAATTTTCTCAATTATTTACTAAACTGTCGACTGTATCATAAATGTGCATTACGCGAATACTGAGAAAGTCAATTATTTTTAATTATTGTAATAAAATGTGATACTTTTTATAATTTAATTCTTTCTGAGTCTTCCATGATATAATTTTGAACACAATTTTCTCTATTATTAACTAAAATGTCGACGGTATCATAAATTTACATTACGCAAAGGCTCAGAAAGTCAATTATTTTTAATGATATTGTAATCAAATGTTATTTTGTATCTTAATTCTTTAATTATCAACTAAACTTCTCTATTATTATTTATTTTCTTATCAAATTGCATTACGAAAAGGTTCTGTTAGATAAGTTCACTTTGACACAATAGTTCAATCAAATGTCATTATATTGTGTAACTTGATTTTATTATTAGACAACAAATTACAGAAGATTTGTATAACTTTTTTTTTAAACAGAAGATTTGCATAACAACATTCTATATTAGTTGCGTAAATTACAAGTACAATACATAAATTTATGGAGAGATAGTTAATTCTTATGTATAAACTAAACAAATATATAATGTAAAAGTTAACTTACCTAACAAAACCTATTCATATGCTTATATTTGGTCATTTTTTTTCAATTTTTAACCACATCTTGACTATTACATGAAAAAAAATATATGCTTTTTAGATCAGGAAATGGAGGCTCGCATTGGATTAGAAATAGAGGATCATAGTAAGTTACAACTACTTTTTAGATCATGATGTGGAGGCTCGGATTGGATCATAGAAATAGAGGATAACACTAAGTTATAACTACTTTTGAGATCATGAATGAAGGCTCACATTGAGTTGTACAAAATACAAATAGATGCTCGATGGATTTACATATTCATGGGGATAAAGCTCAAAAATTTGAAGAACTTGATTAGGAAACGGTAATTCGATGTTTCAAGAACTTGCGCTTAAAAATTGCTCGTCAAACGAAAGATAGCATAACCAAATAGAAAAACGAAAAATATGACAAAACATAAGCAAATGCCAACATACAAAAAATAAAATAATCACTCGCCACTATTCCTTAGTATAAGTTTGGAAGACATGTCATTTATTATTAATGAAACTGTTGATTATCTTATCAATTTGCATTAGACAAAGGTTCCATAAAAGTCAATTATTTTTTCGTGTCCATTTAATCAAAGTGATACTTTCCATAACTTAATAAGTTTATTATGATCTATAATATTCATCATATCATTAACTTGCATTATGCGAAGGTTTCATAAGACAAGTTAACTTTTACATAATAATTTAAGAAGTGATATTTTCATAGCTTGATTTTATATTAGTAGACCACACATTCTGAAAAATTTACATAACACCGTTCTATAAATATTAAACTAAAAGTATATTGCCTAAATCTTATGGAATGACAGTTTATTTCTTATGTATCAATTAAATTAAATGTATTATGTAAGTATTTTCTAATGATTAAGATCTTACGTAACACTTATGGAGGGATAGTCACTTCTAATATAGAAACTAAACAAATAGATAACGTATGTCTTCCATGATATAATTTTGAACAAAATTTTCTCTATTATTAAGTAAACTGTTGATTGTATCATAAATTTGAATTACAGAAAGGCTCTGAAAATCAATTATTTTAATGATATTTTAATCTTATGTGATACTTTTATAACTTAATTATTCTATTATTAATTATATTTTGTAACTTGATTTTATTAGACAACACATTACGAAATATTTACATAACATCGTTCTATAATAGTTATGTAAAATTTATTAAAATTGTACATAAAGGTGATGGAGATATGTGTCCTAATTATTTGATTTCAAACTAAATTATTAAATTAAGTTTTAAATATGCTTAGTTTATCACTGCAGCGAAGCGCGGGTCAAAAAACTAGTGCAGTATAAAAAAAGAAGCCGAGGAGAGACGCACTAGGCAGAAAAAAGCTCGCGAGGAATTTGCAAAGATGCTGGAAGTAAGTGGCATATAGCTAGCTTTTGCTTGGTTGACTCTTTGCACCATTTTTTTGTTTCTGATTGTGGGAATTCATCTGATTTGATTGTTTAATATAGAACAAAGAGACTAAGTAAAAAGTCTTGAGTTTGCCTAGAGCTAGGATATGGATAAAGAGAATGGAGGAGAGGTGACATCTCAAGTTTTTGTCATTGCTAATCTTTAATTTGATGAATTGGAGGCTGTGAGAAGACTAATAGTAATGTTAATTTTTTGATGTTATGAAAATAACAATAGATTGGCGGTTGAGGGTAGTGTAGTAGTAAATGAGAGAGTTTAGTTGGGAGCATAAAATACACATTAGCTTATATTTCGGTATTGTTCGGTATTTTTGTATATACCGATCCCAATCCCGTAATCCCTAATACCGAATAACAATTGAAATTGAATCCCAATCCCAAGAAATAATACGTGTATTTGGTATTACCAAATATAGACAAATTCGGTACGGTATTCGGTAATATCCCAAATACCGGTACCAAACTTCCAACCCTACTCTTAGCTGGCTGTAGGTAGGGCTGAAAATTGCCCTGATCCGTCCGTCCCTATCCCGTTCTTGACCCTGTCTGACCCGTGCTTGAAGGGTCAAGATGTATAGCTGACCTATCCCGTCCCTATCTCCTTCTTGACCCTGCATGATCCTCAAGGGATGGGACGGGTCGGGTCAGTGTATAGACCCTAATCTACACACTACTTTTTTTTTACAAATTACGTTTTGGTACTCAAAATGATTTTTCTTAAAATTTAGTACCTAATATTTTACAAATAAGTCCTAATATTTTGATGGTAAAATTACATTTTGGTACCCAAATTTTTTATTTTTGCAATTTTGTACCTAAACTTTTAAAATTTTACAAAGAGGTCAAATGTGATATGAGATATTTGTTGTTGCTAAGAGTCACAGGGTCAAAAAGTGACCCATCGTTAAGTTGACCCGATCCGTCCCGATCCTTATAAGGTTAAAAGCTGATCTGTCCCTAAACTGACCCATCCCGACCCTCAGAGACGGGACGGGTCGGAACGGATCAGTAGGTTATAATGCTCACCTTGAGCTAAAGGCTGATTTTTCTCATTATTCTTGTACAATAAATGCACGTTAGGACCAGTAGTCATTATAAATTTTTTAGGGTTGGTTTATGTCTACATCCCTCGTTCTTGATCAAGGTGGCCTGTCATAATTGGTTAAATATCTTTGATTTTATTTAGGTTATTAAAATGCAACTTTTTACCCCTTTTCTATCTGTAAAAGCCTTGAACCACACTTTGATTGTTTTCCATGAATCTGCATCCTTAAGCTTTCATCCCTGGTTGGTACTACCTTAAGCAGATATGAGAACTCGAGGATATTTGTCTCTTGGGGGAACATCTGCAGGCACAGCCTGCTGCTTTGTGCTTATGTACAGTTACCCTAAATCTTAGACTAAATGTGAAGCAGAACAAGATACAGCCAATACACAAGTGAGCAGATTGTTAGAGAGACGAGATACCAATCAAGTCCACCATGATCTCATCCATAATCGCTTCCGCAATGGCACCTCCAATCTCCAATCCGATCTCCCTCGGCTGCTCACCATTCTCGCTCCATTCTCGCTGCCCAAGAGAATCCGATAGCAGCTCGGATTCGTCCCCAGCTTTCCATCTCTTACTCCACGCCGCCCACGATCTCACAATCTTCTCGCTGCTGCTCGTACAACACTGCTTATGATGAGTCTCTAGTTCCATCTCCTCTAGTATGCAATCAAACAGAAGTTGCTTCTTCGTTTTCTCCAGTTCCAGAGCATCTCTGCTGGTTGATTTCAGGGGATCCCCTGTTTCATTAGCTTCTGCCCTCCGTAACAGAACTCCCCACACGGATGCTGACGCGATGATGGATTCGTCCGCCGATACTTGGCGCTGTTTCTCTTCTTCCTTCTTCTTCCTCCTGATGATGATGCCATCTCCTGCTGAATTGCGCGACCAATTTGCATGACAAGGATGAGAAGGCAAACAAGACAGGATTGGAAACTTTTTGGAGCTGATCGACACTTACTGCTGCTGTTATTAGTTGGAGGAGAAGAAGAGTCGTCGTCGTCTTCGCGAGACGCCAGCCCTTCCAAAACCGAAACCGGGCTGAATTGCTGATCACCACCACCACCTTCCATGCAACGCCATTGGAGGCTTCCATCTGCAGCTATCTGTTTGTTTGAATTTCTTTTCAGTCATCACATGCAATTAAAACAGGAAGGACTAGCTTGAAATGAGGAAAGTTCGGCTGTACCTTTTCTTCATTGGAGTCCCAGAAATCCGCAAATGAAGAAGAACAGCTTGCTCTTCCTTCAGCGTTATCACTCTCAGAAGAATACCAATTAAAATCTTTCGAGCTGCAGCAGCTAGCAATGGCCAACCTCTCTTCTGCCTCTGCCTCTGAACTTTGCCTCTGCTTCTTCTTCTTCTTACTTCTGAGTTTCTTGCCATTAATGGAACCCACATGATCATACAGATTTCTGACCACCTTGGACAAATTGGAGACACCCTTTTGGCCCTTGTTCCCAGAAGTCACACGGCAGCAGGTAAAGCTTCCTTCTTCTGCTTCTAAGCTATTATTGTGCTTGTTCCTAACACAGCAGCCCTTCTCAGCAAGGTAAGTCTTCAGGATGAATGGTTCCTGCTGCTCTTGAAGAATCTGTCGAAGTTGTTTGACTTGTGCAGCAGCAGCAGCCGCCATTGCTGGGATAGAATTTGGAAAGCTGTAAGGAAGTAGAAGAAAAGCAAGGAGAGGAATGGGAATGGCACTGAAATGGTTGAGTAAAAATGGAAGAAGGGCAGGTGATGAATTTAGGGGTAGATTGTGAATGATTCTCAACTGTGATGGAAAGTAGAAGGAAAAATATATGGTAGGTGTGGGAGACAGAATAGAAAAGGGAAAGGCTCCAAGATTTCTAGGCTATTCTCTCTTCTCATATGGCATTTAGCCATTTAATTGCTCGTGGGGGGTAAGGCACCACTTCCATTCACATAAATTCTTTTTGATACCAACTGGTCCCCCAGCATAAGAAAAAGTCAAAAAACCAAGAAAATCAATTTAGCATTTAGTAACAATATATAATAGCACTTGTACTACAATGTCCCAAGTATGATAAACAACAAACACATTTGAAATGTCAATTACATATGAAAAAATCAAAAGATGGTGGCCCTTTGGAGCATGTTCAAAACAAAATTAGTCTCCATAGATATGTTGGAACAGTTATAGAATAAAAGTATGGGTAATGGCTAATTATTACCCAAATATATTTTGAATTCTTTTTTATTAGCTAAACATATCGAAATTCTAAAATTAGGCAAATGTTTTGTAATACATCAAAATATTAAAATTTTATACATTATCATTAATAATTTTGTACCTCTTTTCATAGTTAAAATACTAAATTTTGGAATGTTAACCTTTATGTATCTACTCCAAGTCAGTATCATGTTGCCAAGTCAATATTATTAATAAAGAATCTGAAAAAAGGTTTGGCTAATAAATAGTTATTACCTTAAAAGTAAAAACAAAACTATGATGGTGTCGTGGTCTACCATATGCATTATATGAAGTACAAGTGAGAAATTCATATGTAGCTATCCTCATCCATTACGTAATCTCATTTTTCAAGATAGTTTCAAACCAGGCAGTCGGCGGATCCATGACATTGTAGAGGATTGAGCCGCATTTGAATAGAAATTAGGTATTTGATAGCTATAGTTTTCATTACAATGTTAATTTTACATGACGGTCTTTTAATTTAGCAAATTCATCATCAATGGAGTCTTCATCCATACCAATAACATATGGATTTTCCCAATATACCTCCCAAAAGCCAAAAATATCCAAAAATACCACCCTTTCCAAAAAAATTCATTCATACCACCATTTCACAAGGATCGCATCTCTCCATGGCGGTTAAATTGAGGACGCAGGGGGCTACTATGGTTTTCATTTTGTGAAATAACTGCAGGGGTTGTTGCGGTTCTCTAGCTGACCTAGACAGAACTGCATCACCCCCCAGTTGTTCTTTGGCTGACATAGACAGACCACCACATCCCCTGGTGGTCCAGTTTGTAGACAAATAACCGCTGGGAGGGGGGCTGCGATTTATGTGCAGTGTTGTCCTTATCCCCCCGACAACCAACATGTCGGCATGCGGGGGGTGACAAGCGTGGGGTTTGCATGTTGCCTAAAAATCGCCACACCCCCTAGCGGTTTTAAGCCACAGTTTCCCTGTAAAAGGCAGCACCTTTCACCCCCAACTCTTCACTACTTTCTCTCCTTCTTCCTCTAATTTTTGTTCTTCTCCCAACTGCTTTATTGCAGATGGCCTGCCAAAAATTCACGTTTATTATATGGTGGATGGCATGTTCCTTACCAGAAAGTACAAGGGCACTCTCCTGATTGTCAGCGGAGCGGATGCGAACAAGAGCATCTGTCTTATAGCCTTCGCCATTGTTGAGGGAGAGAGTATCGAAAGCTGGCGATCTTCCGACAAATTCACCTTTACGTCACTAATAGGACGGGCCTCACAATCATTTATGATCGCCACGTCTGGATCAAAGCTATCATCTTAGGCTTGGATCCAGTGTGGCGGTGGTGCATACGACACCAATGTTAGCATACACTTCGTTATGTCCCGTAGCTATTGCCTACCAAGAGTAGAAATTCATGAGAAGTTGCAGAATATCCGTAAGATATGTCCTGAAAGTCGTAGTGGCTTTATCATCATGACCTGTCAATGGGAACTTTTCATAAGGACGGAGGTGCCAGGTGAGGTATTGCCACAATGAATTCAAGTGAGAGTATCATATCCGTCTACAAGACTGTTCGTGCACTACCAATCTCTGCCATTGTTGATATGACATTCTGGAGAACGAACAGATGGTTCGTTAATTGACTCCACTGGACAAGGGTGAAGGAGGAACATGGTAAGGTCCACTCTAATAAGGCCCTAGAAATCATGGACAGGTACATATACAAGAGTAGTCGGCATAGGGTCATCACCATGAGCCGAGAGGCTGGCGAGTATACAGTTGAGATCAGGCATCGGGAGGATGGCAAACGTGGGGGCGTTGCCATAAAGTAAAATTGAACTTAAAGACCAATTGACCCTCAAAATTTAGGGTATGACGTTGCAAATCCAGATAATGGCGTATAGATTTCTTGATCATTTCTTTTCAGTTGGTTTTCTCTTTGTTGGGTTTCTCAAGTAATATTGTCCGACTTTGTTGGTCATGCAAGTTATGTTGTTTGAATTTGTTGGTTTTCTCAAGTTATGTTCTTCGAATTTGTTGGTTTGCTCAAGTGTTGTTGATCAACTTAAACCCAAAAGAAAATGAGGAGCGCATGAGTGCGGTGTTTTGCCCGTTCGAAATGCAAATTGTAGGAGGTGCGACGGTTTCCTTGTTCGAAATGCAAAACACACAGGGTTTCCACGATTTGGCCGGGATCGTGAGGTGGCGCAAGGTCAATCTAACCACGGTGACCATACACATCATGTAGGCGGCGGAAATAAAAGTTGCAGCACCCCCTCTGCGGTCCTTGTGAAAGGGTGGCATAGGTGAATTTTTTTTATTTGGGTCATATATTTGGGAAAAATTCATAACATACTCTCTCAAAGAAAATAGTTAAGCAATCAGCACGAAATTCATCGCTCATTTGTTGTGCAAATCAATTTTCACATGTTTCACTGCTAAAAATGTTCTCTTCGTATTAGTTGTTGAAACGGGTTAAGTCAACACTAGACGAATCAACTAGCAAATCAACTTTTATTGTGTGTCCATCCTGTTTCCACCAGCTTCTCTAGTAATTTTGCAAGGGAAGAAACTCCATATTCCTAACTATGAACCATATGAGCAGCATAATATTTAGCTCATTCTTCAAAGAATGCATCTAATAGACTTCAACTTCTCGAGGGTAAATATTTTCTTCATCAAAATATCAGAAGAACTTTTAGGATCTAATGCACCATTAACGAAGCAATCTAAATGATGACTCAACAAATTTGTAAATATTTTTTTCATCATAAGACTTGAAAGAAAGCCAGCGCACGACGAACTGGCTGAGGAATCCGTTTGTCTCCTCGTTCTTATTTTGTTTTTTGGGGGTTAGGGGAATTTTTTTAAGTTTTGACACGGAATATTAAGGTTTAGTTTAGAGGTTTTTATTTTACTTTTAGTCTTTTACGTGTAATATAAACAATAAATATGCAATTATATGCATAATCAACGATAAAATCAAACTTTTTAACACATAAGTCATAAATATTTAAATTATTTAAGTATAAAGGCAACTACAAACATTAAAATCCACCATTTGGAGCTTGCAATTATAGTATTTCGATTTTTCGGTCGAATTTTCTGAATTTCGGTTCGGTTGAAAGAACCCTGATTCCGAAATATCCATATTTCCCTTCCGAATTCCGAACCGAATGACATTATTTTGGTTTTGGTTCGGTTTAATTCGATTTCGGTTTGATTCGGATTTACCAAACCGGTTGTCCACCCCTACCCAGATGGCCCATCCCTAGATCTGCCACTGACCATGTACAACTTCGATCAACAGCTTGGTAGTACTCTCACCTCACAAGTTGGTGGCATAGCTCTTCACAAATTAACCCTTTTCACTTGATAATGAAGAAGAGTGAGAGATAGAAGAACCATCGGTGTTAACACTTTTCCAGTTTGACGGGACATCGTTATTAATTAGTCGTTGTTCATAATCTTACAAGATCACTCGATTCATTAATCTATTCGATATTCTTTAAGGCGATCATTAAGAACCCAAAACTTATTATATTTCCTTGACAACTACAAAGGTTTAGGTGTCATATAACATGTATTTTGGCAAACATGATTTACCTAATGTTTCTTTGAAAGAAAGAAAAAAAAAACTCTTTGAAATACACTGGCAGTTCAAATACGTAGCCTTATACCAAAATTTATCAGCAAAGTAAATAGTTTATCAAATATAATGCATTATTGAACTCACATGCATGGACCAGTCGCATTTACCAAACAATCCCTACAGATGGATTTGATATTTGGTAAATCAATTATTGATTGTGTAAACTTATAGAATATATTATTCTGAAAATCAGCATATAATATTGTGATACCAAACAAACTTGAGGAGTTCGTTGGCGAACTTCTATTGCATGTACCATGTTAAATTTTTGAAAGCCTATTTCACCAACTCAATCTTTTACTTTGGCCGACTAAAATTATAAATTTACAATGAATTTTCCATTGAGTCGTACCAGAAACTTTGAATTAGTTGTACATGGTGGACTTATTGAAGGAATTAGGTGTTAGCTCATCAATCTAATTTCTTGCCGTGAAAACAACTCCGTGGCGGATCCAAATGTAATAGGATTATGACCTACTTATAATTTTCAAATACCGTTAAAATATACGTGTAAAACTTATAATAAAATTGAGAAACAGAGTAACTGATAAGATTTTAACCATTTTCTCAACTATCATAAACTCGTTGAAATTAATTATTTCCTGCTTTCTCTCATCCAACAACAAAATTAGGTAAATTGATATGGTCTCTTGGTTGGTTTGTTTGTTAGGTAGGTAGGGGCGGAGGGTTTGTTTGTTGGGTTGTGGTGGTGTAATTGAACAGTTTGTCTTCCAGTTGGTAAAGAAATCGTTGGAGCCTTTTGTAGGTGCAGTCTCGTCTCTATTTGGTGGCAGAGAGACAACTATACACAGAATGACAGAATGGAACCATACATGGTCCCAACACAATTCTGTCTTTTTTTGCTTCATTTGAGTATCCGACCAAGTCGTTTGTTTGGACCGCAGCGAGGATCAAAATCCAATGGAGACGTTCTTGCCTCAATATTAAAGTGCTAATTTGCTGACTAGCTAGCTAGTAGTAATCCAACACTCCTGCGCGAGGGAACAAGAGAAACCTATCATCACTCCAATTAAGGATTATGGGTGGGAGGTAGGGCACAAATTGATAGGTGACAAAAGGATTGGATTTATGAATTGGTTGATTGGATTGATAGATTTATGGATTGTACCAAA